GGTTTGTGAAGGATTCGCGCGCGTGCACTTCATCGCGTCTTTTGCGAAGGATTATTCAACACTTACGATTCGTTATGAACGAGCGCGCGCGCGCATACTATTTTTTCCAGGAGATGGCGGGGGGGGTCGACACCAGCCTGCCTGGCACGGTACGAGTTCAAACTTCGGATGGACGATGGGGCAGAATTATGCAAATTACCACGCGAAAAGGGGCGTCGATAACCCCGAGGCGGGGGGGGTAGAGTCCATTCTGTCTTAAGAAGGAAAACTGACTACCCTGCGCCGCGCTTGACCACCTCCACTGCTCGCGCAGTCACCCCACCCACCCACCCGCAACTTGCATCGCAAACCCCATGCGGTGGCGATTGCGAAGAGTGCTCGGCGCCGGCTGGTGCATCTCTGCGGCCGCGCCAACCCAAACACGCGCGGGCAGCGGCCAGCTAGTTTGGCGCGACCGACGCGGCCGCGGCGGCCCTGGCCGCCGGGCGCATCTCAGCGGGCACTGCACTGCGAGTCGACGACTTGGGCAGGCGGGGCACCATGGCAACGTCGATAACAGTGGACACGATGATGATAGTAGCGATGCTGGCGAAGCCGTTGACAACGACGACGGCGCACCAGCGCGGGCGCCGATGCTGATCACGCCGACGACGACGACGACGGCGCCCTCGCGTCGATGATGAGGGTTCTGGACCAGGTCTGACGGGGCAGGTCTGACACGCGCGCGCGGCCGGCGCGCGAGAGACCCGCGTGACATTTTGACATGGATCGCGCCCCCCCCCCCAAACAAAAAAAAAAACGAACGCATCGGCGCGCGAATGATGGCGGCGCATTGGGCCAGAGGCTCGTTCGGCAGAATGCCATGAAAATTTTTTGAGACAGAAATTGGTTGTCTTAAGAATGCGCATGATCGAAAGCGCACGCTTCTTTGCAAACTGATGTTGCGGAACCATGCTTCCATGCGTTTTGGATACTCCATTTTCAAATCGCTACGAAAAGAAAATGTTCCACGGATTTGGGCGCGAGCGCGCGACGTCGCGCGCGCGTGCACTTCGCCCCCTCTGTTGCGAAGGATTCCCGCGACGGCGCGCGCGCAAAGGCGCCCGAATGATTCCAGCATGCGCGCGCAAAGTCCGCCTGGTAGAATTTCCCCACAGATGAAGAAACAACGACGGTTTTCTCACTGTCTCGCAAGAGCGCGCGCTCAAGTTTTTTACAGAAAACCGCGTTGCGAAAACATTTGTTTTCTGTATTTTGGACACTCGATATTGAGTTCTCCCACGAAGCCGCGAAACCGATGGTTTCTGAAAGATTTCAACATGCGCGCGCGACGACACGCGCGCGTGCACTGCGCCCCATTTTTGGCCAGGGGTTCGTGCACTTACGATGCGTTATGAGCGAGTGCGCGCGCATAATATGTTTGGCAATGGATGGCGGGGGGGCTCGATACTGGCCTGCCCAGCACGGTACGAATTCAAACTTCGGATGGACGGCGGGGCAGAATCACATGACAATTGCAATACGAAAAGAGAAGTCATAATCCCCAGGGGGGTAGAGTCTATACTCTTGTCAGACAGGAAGACCTATGGTGCGAAATATGTTCTGCGCGCGATATATGTGTACTCGGCGCGTTGCAATCGACGCAACTCTCAACGCGCGCGGTTCAATCGACGCAGGGCAATGTGACGCGCAAGGTATGTTGTGCAATATACGTGTGCAACCTGCGTAGTGCAATATATGTGGCCCTATATATGCGGTGCAAACGACGCGGCGCAATCCACTCTGCTGAACATCTCCACTGCTCGCGCAAACACCCCACCCTCCCACCCGCACCTTGTTCGGCAAAACTCATTGAGCGGGGGGCGGCGGCGCCGCCGAAGACGACATCGACGATAACATCCTCACTGCCGACGCTCGTCACCGTGAGGAGATGATGAAGGTGAGCACATCGACGATACTCGGACGCGCGCGATGACGAGATGACGTCGGCAACGTCTGCGACAACGACGAAGATGGCACCAGCGACGACGATGTTCAAGACAAGAGGGCAACGGCACTAAGGATAACGGCGCCGATGATGGCAAACACGTCGACGATGCTGATGCCCACTTGTCGACGAGGCAAGTGACCGCGGTGGCGCTGACAAGGGTGAAGAGGAAATCCGCGCGCGCGGAAGTTCAACAAATCCGTCAGACTGGTCGCGCGAGCGCGGCGGCGCGCGCCGGCGGCCCGCGCGGCGTTTCTTGCAAGGGGTTCGCGCGCCCTCGGCGCGCGACAGGGGATTCGCGGGTGCGCCGCGCGGTGATATGAATAGCTGGATTGAGCCGAATTCAAAAGTATCCAACGGCTTCTGCATGATTTTAACGAGGGCGCGGACGGAATACATATATATATATATATGTATTTATTTATGTATTTATATATATATAGCAAAGTTAGTACGCTGAAACGCTTGCAAGCACATTGTATTTGGTGCGATTTTGACATGGGCGGGCACTTCACTGCGAATCGGCGACTTGGGCGGGCGCGATACTACGGCAACGCCGACAACGGTACACACGGCGACGATAGTAGCGAGGTTGGCGGCGATGCTGACAGCGACGACAACGGCCAGTGACGGCGCGGATGCTGATCACGCCGACGACGATGACAGCGCCCTCGCGTCGGCGATGCACGTTCTGGAAGGAGTTCGCCATGCGCGCGCGGCCGAAGCGCGAGAGTGGCCCGCGCGATGTTATTTGGAACGGACCCCCCTCCCCCCCCCCCCCAAGCTCGCGCGCAAAGGCGCGCGAATGATGTCGGCATGCGGCGCGAGAGGCCCGTTTGGCAGGACTCCATGAACACGCTGGAAAAAAACTTGGTTGTCTTAAAAATTCGCAAGAGCGCGAGCGCACGTTTATTTGACAACTGACGTTACGAAACCTTGTGCTTTCATATGCGTTTTGGACTTTCGGTTTTGAAATCGCTACGAGACGGAAGATGCTTGACGGATTCTGGCACGCGCGCGCGACAACGCGCGCGCGCATGCACTTCGTCCTTGTTTTTGCAAAGGGGTTCTCGCGACGGCACGCGCACAAGGTCGCTCGAACGATTTCCACGCGCGCGCGAAGCCCGTTTGATAGCATGTTCTAAAAATGTTGGTAAACCGATGGATAGACTTCGGAAGTGCGCGCGCATGCTTTTTGTTGGGGGGGGATCCACGTTGCGAAACCATGTATGTTATATATGCTTCTGGCGCACCCCATTTAAGTCCTTCCGGAACCAAAAATTGTTCAAGGATTTCGGCATGCGCGCACGACGACGCGCGCGCGTGCACTTCACCCCAGATTATGCGAGGCATTCTTGAGAAAAAATGTAATAAGCGAGTGCGCGCACATAGTATTTGTTGCAGAGGATGGCGGGGGGGGCGATACCGGCCTAGCTGGGATAATATGAACTCACAGGGAGGATGGGCATTAGGTCTGAATCATATGTAAATTGCAATACGAAAAGCGGTGTGGATAATCCCGTGGGGGAGGGTGGTAGAACTTATTTCTTTTCTAGATTGGTGAATCTTCGTTGCGCAGTCTAGTTATGCAATCAAAGCAGCGACGGGGAGGCGACGGCGACCACCAAGCCGCCAGACCGACACCCAGGCCCAAACGACCGCCCCCCCCTCCCCTGAGGCCCTGAGGATGGTTCTGCGAGGAGGGATCCAGAATGAAAACCAACTGCGACCAATTCAAAAAACTGGGGAAGTCTGAGGGACAAATAAACGAACCGTCCTAACTACTACAAGCGACACTACTGAGGGAAAGCTTCTGGGAGGAATTAAAAGAGCAAGCTCTCCGACTCACCCACAAACCACCCCGAGAGGAGCTCAGCAAAGAGGAATCCCCATCGACTCCCCCATGAGGGAGGGGGGTCCGGAGGGGGAATCCCTAACCCACCCCGACCCCGCCAAAAAAAAACATCCGAATCTCCCCAAAACCTCCCGGAGGGGGTGGTCTGGGTGAAAACACCTCAACTTTCCTCTTAAAAAATCCTGAAGGAGGGTTCTGGAAGGCAAGTAACCAAAACCCCCACCCTAACCCCCCAAAACAAACCCTGACGGAGGGGAACGGGGGGGAACCCACCCTAACCCCCCCCAGAAAATGACCCTGAGGGGGGCCCCCCCCAAACCGCCCCTCCCAACAAAAAACCCAAGGGGGGAGGTCTGGGGGGGAAAACCCAGAGCCCTCCCGAGCCACCTAAAAAAAAACGGGGGGGATCCAGAGGGGAAAAAAACACATCACCCCCTAACCCCCCCAAAAAAACCTTAGGGCGGGAACAGCAGCGTCAGGAAGAGGGTAGTGAGGGCAACGGCAGCAAGGAAGGAGACGGAGGGTGCGACGCGCAGGAAGGAGCACGGCGACAACGACGACGACGACGAAGAAGACGACGACGACGACGACGACGACGACGACGACGACGACGACGACGACGACGACGGGCCACGGACGACGGACGACTGACGACGGACGACGGACGACGACGACGAACGACAGACGACGGACGACGACGACGACGACGACGACGACGACGACGACGACGACGACGACGACAACGGCCGCGGCGGCGGCGACGGCGACGGCGACGGCGACGATGACGATGACGGCGACGGCGACGGCGACGACGACGATGACGGCGACGGCTAGGAAGATTCCAGGACCTCTCCCAGGGTGCTACTTGAAAAGAAGCTCATGGGGAATCTGGCCGTGGCGGCCCGATGCCTCCAGGCGAGAACTCCCGGAGACCTCGAACCCAGCTGCTCCCAAATCGAGCGATCGAACGGTCGAACGGTCGAACGGACGAGCGGACGAACGGACGAACGGACGAACGGACGAACGGGCGAACGGACGACGGCGACGGCAGGGGCGGCAGCGGCGGCGGCGGCGGCTGCGGCGGTAGCGACGACGACGACGACGCCGACGGCCGACGGCCGACGGCGACGGCGACGACGACGATGATCCGCTCGCGGCCTCGAACGGCTGCGGCGCAGGCTCGGCGCGGGCCTCGCGGGCGAGCTCGCCGCCCGCGTCGCCGTCGTCGGCCGTCCGCGCCGTCCGCCGTCCGCGTCTTCGGCGTCCGCCGTTGTCATCGTCCGTCGTCGGCGTCGTCGTCGTCCGTCGTCGTCGGTCGCAATCTTGTCGTCGTCGTCGTCATAGTCGAGGATGTCGTCGTCGTCCGTCGTCGTCAGTCGTCGTTATCGCCAGTCATTTCAATATACTCGTGACCATCATCACCTCCTTCCTGCTTAACCCTCCTCCTACAATCTTCCAACTCCTCCTCCTGATCATCGTCGTCGTCGTCGTCATCATCACCATCACCATCACCATCACAATCACCATCACCATCATCATCATCATCATCAGCATCAGCATCAGCATCATCATCATCATCATCCTCGTCGTCGTCGTCATCATCATCATCATCATCATCAACATCAACATCAACATCAACATCATCATCATCACCACCACCACCACCACCATCATCATCATCACCATCACTATCACCATCACAATCACCATCACCATCATCATCATCATCACCATCACCATCACCATCACCATCACCATCACCATCACCATCACCATCTCCATCTCCATCTCCATCACCATCATCATCATCATAATCATCATCATCATCATCAGCATCATCATCATCATCATCATCATCACCACCACCACCACCATCATCATCATCATCACCACCACCACCACCACGGCCACCGCCACCACCACCACCACCACCACCATCATCATAATCATCATCAGCATCAGCATCAGCATCATCAGCATCATCAGCATCATCAGCATCATCAGGATCATCATCAGCATCATCAGCATCATCATCATCACCATCATCATCAGCATCATCATCATCACCATCATCATCATCAGTAGCAGCAGCATCATCATCATAATCATCATCATCACCACCATCACCATCATCATCATCAGCATCAGCATCAGCATCAGCATCATCAGCATCAGCATCATCTCTTCATCATCATCATCATCATCATCATCATCATCATCATCATCATCATCAGCACCGTCATCATCATCATCATCATCATCATCATCATCATCATCATCATCACCATCATCATCATCATCATCATCATCATCATCATCATCATCATTCCTCTCCTCTCCCTTCCCCTCCAGATTCTCATTCATCTGACTCCTCCATCCTTGTCTCAATCCAAGCCTCACCCCTCCCCTCCTGCTGGGACAGGGAGGCGGGACGAAGATAGAAAAGAGGAGGACTGCCGCGGTTGTCCTCACAAGGGCACGGGTGAGCCCCTTTTCAAGCTACCCTGGGGCGATGCGAGGTTAACGGGGGTACCAACCTAGTGACCCAAGGCGGGGGGAGGACGCATAGCCGCGGCGTCGTGATGCTCAGCGTGGGGGACCGTTCGGTCGGCCTCGGCCCTCCCTCACCGAAGGACCCCGCGAGCTCCGCCCAGGAGCGCGGTCACCATCGCAGCCTCGCGCGCCCTCCCGCGATGCAACGCCGGGGGGAGGGAGGCCGGCGAGGGAAACGGCGACCTCGAATCGGCGACACGTCGCCGACAGAGCGGCGATATGCCTCCGATGGCGAATCCGTACGTTCCCAGGCGGGGTGGGCCATCATAGAGGAGCAACGAACGGGAGGGGGGTCCAGCGCAGATCCAAGAAACCCGCGCGGACCGCCAAAAGCTTATGTTCATGGCGTGCTTTCTCCCGTCCATCCTTACCATGCGGGTTGACTGCACATCGGCGATGAAGGGGCGCTTGGGGGTCGGCGCATCCCCCCCCTTGATCGGGGGCGCGCAAACATGGATCAGCGATGCATGGACTTGGCGCGCGGTCGCCAAATCCATGGATCGGGGGAAGTGCCCTCCCCCAAATGCCACCGGTGCCGCCTCGCTCGGCGGCGGAACTCCGCGATTTCCCATGGAAACGGGACCCGTCGCTCATCCACGCCCCCTTGATCCATGCTTGCGATCGCCTGACTTGAGCCCCACCCCTCCTGGCGTTGCAGCCCCACCCCTCCTGGCGTACGCCCCCCGCTCCCGGAGGTGGCGCTCCCGCGCGGGCGCGGCGCACGGCTCGCTCGCCGAGGCGCAAGACGACGGCCGCGGCGGGGCCGCGCAGGCGCCGGCGACGTGCCGACCTCGCCCGAGCGCCGCGCAGCGTGCGAGCGGGTGCGGCGAGTGCCGAGCCGTTCCCCGTGGAGGGGAGGGCGGCCCCCCCCCGCCCCCCCGGAGCCCCGGGGGAGTGCCTCCAGAGCCCCGGGGCCTCCCCCGCTCCGCGTGGAGGGGCAGGCGGCCCCCCCCCCCCCGCGCGCTGCCGCGGCGCGAGAGAGCGGCGCGGGGGTGGCGAGGCGGCGGCCCCTCGCAGGCCCCCTCGCGGTTGTGCGGCCCGTGGCGTGGTGGGCCTGTCTTCCGCCACCACCACCACCAGAAGTTGGAGGGGGGAAGGAGGAGGACGACGACGACGACGACGACGACGACGACGACGAGGAGGAGGAGGAGGGGAAGGAGACGCGCCTCGGGCTGGGCCCCCGAGGGGAGGAGGAGGAGGAGGAGGAGGAGGAGGAGGAGGAGGAGGAGGAGGAGGAGGAGGAGGGGAGGAGGACGAGGAGGAGGAGGAGGAGGACCCCCTCCTCCTCCAACTGGTGGTGGTGCTGGTGGAAAACAGGCCCACCATGACGAGGAAGGACGGCCCAGGCAAGGCGTCTGGAGGTACTTTGGGCCTCTGGTGTAGCAACCGCCGCGGGCCCGCCGGCGGGGCTGGCCGCGCCACGCGCTCGGGGCATGGCCCGTCCCCCTGAGCGGCTCGCTACCTCCGCCCGCCTTTCGGCCGCGTCCTTGCCCCTCCCCCTCCTGCATGGTGGCACAATTCGCTCTAACGGCACCCCCTTTACGCCTTTCCGCTAGCGCAGGCGACCCCTGCCTCGCCGCCGACGCAAAAAGTTTGGAGGTACTTTCTGAAGGGGCCCAGGGACAAATAAATACACACACATCCAAGGATTCCCTAGATTTGTCCATATGTTCTGGACTGTCGTCTTCCCCCCCCCACTTCGCATGTTTTCCCATATTCTCCTGGGAGTCGCCGATTAATTGTGTCTGTGTGATTTTCCCCTCCTCAATTTCTGCTTGCTCAGGAAAATTGAACGTTTTCTTATTCGGCGTTTCGACGTTGGACGCAAGGGGGGGAGGGGAGGTATGGCTCCGAACCGACCTGCTTGAAACAGGCGCCTGTCTGGTAGCCCAGGACAAGCACCCGTCAGTCGGAAGAAGTCGGTAGAAACATGAAGCAGGAAGGCGTTGGAAGTAGGTTGGGTCTCCCCACGCACCCTGCAGAGGAGAGACATTGCAACCAATCCATCCTTGAAGCAGGAAGGTGCCTAAAAGAGATTGGGATCCGACAATCCGAAAATACCTACTGTCGACGACCAGCGCGTACTTGGAGATGCCTGCGGGCTGTCCAGGAAACGTACTTGGGAGGTACCTGCGGGCAGCCCAGGAGAGGTGCTTGGAAGTACAGTCGGCCCTGGGCCAAAAGACCACCCCTCGAGAACATGAGACCCTCCACTGGCCAAAACCGAAGAGCAGCAGCCGAGGGTGCCCTCCCCCAAGGTGCGCAAGAACACCCAACAAGCACGGAGAACGTCAGGGTACCCTCCTGGAACCGACCTCGATCTTCTGCCTCGGTCCGAGCCGTACCTGCGGGCAGCCCAGGGCAGGCACCTGTGAGGTGCCTGCGGGCCGAACGAGCTCCAGCTCGGCGGGCTCTGGGGAGGGAGCGGATCGCCAGAATCCTCCCTGCGCCGCGTACACCTCTCTCCCTTCCCGGCCCTCCGCTCTCCTGGCCCAGCGGGCCTCCAGCCCGTGGGCGGCGCGCAGAGGGGAGTAACTAGGAGGAGGGGGGAGGGGAGGGCTGCTCGGAAGCGGGGGTGCTTCCTGGAAGGCGCGGGCCTGGCATCTACAGGCAAGGCACGCGCCTTCGAAGACGCAGGGGTGCTTCTGAGAATCCGTCCCCCCTCCCCCCCTAGCCCACCCCCCTGCGCGTGGCCGAGCCTGGCCCGGCCCCCCGCAAGGACCCTCCCCCCCGACTTGTGGAGCAGGGCTTCCCGCACGTGCCCAGGGCTCTCCTTGGGCTGGCCAGGGGACCGTGTCGGACTTGGTGGTTTCCCACATCTGGGGTCCGAGCAGGTGGGGTCGCATCACCGACGCACCGGCGATGCATCCGCGACGTCGGTGATGCATCGGCAGCGTCGGCGTGGAGAAAGTCGGGCTCCAGATCGAGCCGCGTCGCCGATGCCTCGGCCATGCGGCGCGACCCGCCGACCACAGCTGCTTCGACCCCACTCGCGCGGCCGCATCGCACCGCTCCGATGCACCCGCGGCCCTCGGAGGTGCGCGACCACCACGGAGGAGCAACAAAGAGCTGCACAAGCACAGGGAGCTGTCGGAGGTCCGCCCAGGTGTCTCGGGTCGGCGCTGGGCCCGCCTCCCTGCTGCTCGCAGCGCGCCAGGGGCGGCGCCAGCGGCGCCCGCAGGGGGGTCCGGCGCCGCTCCAGGAACAGAATCCGCACGGAGCTCCGCAGGGTTGTGTGTGTGTGCCGCCTGTGCGTCCTCGACAGACGTCGGAAGCCGCAGAGACATCGCGGAGCCGTGGGGAGACACAGCAGAGGCACAGGCGCTTCGAAGAGAGGCGCCAGAGACAGCAAGCGCGACGTATTCGGCCATGGACCCCATGGCTACACACCAGCTTTGGTCAGTCTTCGGAGGTCTTCAGCGGGCGTCTGGCGGTCTTCGGCGGCCCTCGGCGGCCTTCTGACGGTCTTCGGCGGTCTTCTGACGGTCTTCGGCGGTCTTCTGACGATCTTCGGTGGTCTTCGGCGGTTTCTGGCGGTCGGCGCGAGAGCTGGACGGTTGCGTGTAACAAGGGGTCCATGATCACACGCGTGACCAACAGCAAGCGTTGTCCCAAAACGGAAGCGGCCACTGCTGCGAATCCTGCTCGGTATGGACAGCAACTGCTGTCGGTCGTCGTCCCCGCTCCTGCCGTGCCCATCTCTCGGGGGCGGCAAAAAGGGCCTGGCTTGAGAAGGTGTGGCCTGCAGGATGAAGAGCCGGCCTCCCCCCCGCCCCGATGACCTGCCTGCTCTCGGGATGATCGAGCAGAGCCGCACGCGCGAAACCGACCCTGCACACCAAAGTCTTACGCAGAGGCCTCCTGGATTTGGGTCGGGCGAAAGGGGGGGGATAGCAAACGAGGGCGTTGAGAATCAGCTCACGTAGCTGATTTTCCCAGCGCCTCCCGGCGCCGGAGGCGGCTACGTATCGAGGAATGGGCTCCTCGGTGAGGCCGAAACCAGCTGCATGCAGCAAATTTCGTAACCCCCCTTTTCCCAATCCCCCCCTTTCGTCCGGCCCGATAGATGGGGTCCGAGTAGACAGGGTCGGAGGATCGCGCCGCACCGCGGACGGCGATGTCGACGTCGAGACATCCGGGCTCCGCCTCGCGCCGCACTGCCGATGCAGCGGCGATGGAGAGCGCGATCCTCCGACCACATGGAATCGGACCCCCGCCTGGGAGGCCCAGAGGATGGCAATCTCCGAAATCTCGATCCCCCCGAATCTCTGGGCGAGAGCTCGCGTGCTGCCAGATGTGCCCCTGGCCCAAAGGCCTCTCCAAGAATCTCTGGGGAGGCCCCGGTGGCCCCCAAAGCACCACTCACGAGGCCCAGACTGAGGGCTCCACAGGGGTCTCTGGATTGGTTCGAGAGGCTGGGGCACCGAGGGCCAGGACCACTTCTGCGAGGGGCACCGACTGGGGGGGGGGGGGCTGGCTCAGGAGGTGGAACGTCGACGTGGAATCGGTGATACATCGCCGACAGACTGGCGAGGTGGGCTACGAGGCTCCTATCGGCGATGAATGGGCGTCTGGGTCGGTGCATCCGCCCCTGAGCCCTACCCTCCCTGGCGGTGCCCCCCTAGCCTCCCCCCCTCCCCCTTTGAGTAGGGGATCGACTACAGAATCGATGTGCCCCAAAACTGACATTCTCGCCGAGCCCACGTATAAAAACACGCAGAGGAATGCGACGTGGATCTACGAACACGCTTCGCAGGTTTCATGGACTCGACGAGGACACCACTAAGGGAACCCCCAAAGAGCTCTCGAGCCCGCGCTGGCCCGCCAGGAATGCCGCGGCGCACGGGCCGAGAGCGCCCCGCCCGGGCCGCCGCCGCCCGCGCGGAGGCTCTCTGCGGGGAGGGCCCCGGCCGGGAGGGGCGCGAGCCGCTGTCGGCTGGGGAGGAGGGGGGAGGAGAGAGGAGGGGGGAAGAAGGAGGAGGAGTAGGAGGAGGAGGAGGAGGAGGAGGGGAAGGAGACGCGCCTCGGGCTGGGCCCCCTTGCCGCCGCCGCCCTTGCCGCCGCCCTTGCGCCAGGACTCGTCGGCCTCTCCGACCGGCCACAACGGGCTGTGGTCCTCAACCCTCTGGGGGATCCGTCGTGCAGACGAGGTCTCTGGAGGAACAGGAGGCGGCACCAGCATCAGCTTTCGGAAGCCCGCGCGAACTTCGTCGGTCGGCGCTGGACGCCGCCTCCCCACACCCTTGCCCCGGCCAGTGCGCGAAGCTCGCCAGGGGCGGCGCCAGAGGCGGCGCCCAGGGGTGTTGAAAGGGGGTCTTGCGCTGACCCAGGACACCCGCGCGGACCCCGGATGTTTATGCTGACGCTCAGTTTGCCTTTCCTCCACCCTCGAGATGGGGCGTCGAGGCCCGCGGGCCCCGCGAGGGGGAAGAGGACCACAGCGCCCCAGTCGCAGACATCCGCCGATATGATCAGGTCTACCCGCAGCTCCAGCAAATCCAGACCGCTCCCCCCGGGGGGAGTTTTTGGTCCCAGATCAAAGTGTGATGGTCCCGGGGACCGACAACAGCCCCCGGCGGCCGAAAACGGGGAGAAACGCCAGGACTCGGCGGCGGGGGGAGAAGTGAGAAAGAGAAGGCCTTCTCAGAAGGCTCGGAAGACCCTCGGCCTTCTGAGAAGTGTTCACAGCCTCCCTCGAAGGCAACAGAAACCTCTCAGAATCCGCGAGGGCCTCTGAAGTCCCCCCGCCTTCTGAGAATTGGCGGCGCGCACAAGGGGGTGGAGGTAGGGGGGAGGGCTTCTTAGAAGGAGACTGCTCCTTAGAAGGCGCCAGCCTTACATCTGTAGGCAAGGCCCGCGCCTTCTAAGAAGCAGGGGCGCTTCTAAGCAGCCCTCCCCCCTCCCCCCACCCCCCCTTTGCGTGTGGCCGAGAGAAGGCCTTCTCCTTCTCATTTCCTCCCCTCGCTCGCCGCCGAAGGATCCCAAAAACATCACATCGCCAGATCCCGCGGTTGTGGCTGGCCCCGCCTCTGGCCGGCGCCACGACTGCTGCTGCTCCTGCCGCCGGCCGCCGTCCTGCCGGCGCGCGGGCGCCGCGCGGCCGAGACGCCGCTGTTGCCAACGACGACGACGACAGACAAAAACGACGACGACGACGACGACGACGACGACGACGACCACGACGACGACGACCGACGACCGACGACCGACGACCGACGACCGACGACCGACGACCGACGACCGACGACCGACGACGACCGACGACGACGACGACGACGACGACGACGACGACGACGACGACGACGACGACGACACCGACGACGACGACGACGACGACGACGGACGACGGACGACGGACGACGGACGACTGACAAGCAACGAAGACGCCGACGACCGACGACCCGCGACCGAGGACCCACGACCGACGACGACAAACGACAACCGACGCCGACGACGACGACGACGACGACGACGACGACGACGACGACGACAACGACGACGACCAACGACCGACGACCGACGACCGACGACCGACGAGCAACGACGACGACGACGACGACCGACGACCGACGACCGACGACCGACGACGACGACGACCAACGACGGACGACGACGACGACGACGACGACGACGACCGAAGACGACGACCGACGACCGACGAGCAACCACGACGACGACCGACGACCGGCGACCGATGACCGACGACCGAAGACCGACAACGACGACCGACGACTGACGACGACGACGACGACAACGACGACAACGATGACCGCCCGACGAAAACGACGACGACGACGACGACGACGACGACGACGGCGACGACCGACAACCGACGACCGAAGACCGACGACCAGCCACCGAGGACGAACGACGACGACGACCGACGACTGCCGACGACGAAGACAAACGGTACCAACGACGACGACGCCGACGACCAACGCCGACGACCGACGACGACGACGACGACGACACCGACGACGACGACGACGACAACGACGGAGACGACGACACCGACGACGACGACGACTGCGACGACGACGACGACGACGACGACGACGACGACGACGACGACGACGACCGACGACGACGACGACGACGACGACGACGACGACGACGACGACGACCGACGACCGGCGACCGACGACGACGACGACGACGACGTTGATCGACGACCGACGACGACAGACGACCGACGACGACGACGACCGACGACGACGACGACGACGACGACGACCGAGGACCGACGACCGACGACCGACGACCAACGACCGACACCAACGACAACGACGACGACGACGACGACGACGACGACGACGACGACTACGACGACGACGACGACGATGACGACGACGACGACGACGACGACGACGACCCACGACGACCACGACGACGACGACGACGACAAACGACCGACGACAGACGTCCGACACCGACGACTGACGACGACGACTGACGACTGACGATTGACGACGACGACGACGACGACGACGACGACCGACGACGACCGACGAACGACGACCAACGACCGACGACCACGACGACGACCGACGACCGACACCAACGACGACGACGACGACGACGACAACGACGACGACGACCGACGACGACCGACGACGACCACGACAACAACGACGAAGACAGACGACCGATAACAGGCGACCGACGACCGACGACCAACAACCGCAAGCACCGACGACCGACGATTGACGACGACGACCGACGACCGACGACGACGACGACGACGACGACGACAACGAAGACGGACGACCGACGACCGGCGACCGGCGAGCAACAACACCGACGACGACGACCCACGAAAGATGACCGACGACGACGACGACGACGACGACGACGACGACGACGACGACGACGACGACAACCACGACGCCGACGCCGACGACGACGACGACGACGACGACGACTACGACGACGCGACGGCGGCGGCGGCGGCGGCGGCGGCGGCGGCGTCAGCGGCGGCGTGAGCGGTTGCGGCGGCAGCGGCGGCAATGGCGGCGGCGTCGCCAGCAGCACGTCCTTCCCTCGAGGGCCCTCCCGCCATGATGCCGCCTGGCCAGTAAAGCTCAGGGCCGATGCGTCCTTGCGGGGGAACGTTAACGGGTGACCAGCTCGGGCGGGGAAACATTGGACGCGGCCGGGGGGTCTGAAATGGCTGGGACCCCAAAAATCAGCCAAGGGGGAGCGAGGCCGATCCCCGGACCCATCCTGGGATCCATCTGGTGCACTTGATCATTCAGAATCCGTTTCTGAATGTTCTGGAACCCTTAATCGGTTCCTGGAGTCCCCCCCCCAAGAAAAACTGGTCCTGCCCCCCGAACCTCGAACCTTGACCCCCCTTCCTGCACGCCGGAACACCTGCTGGGCCACGTCAAACCCCAAGCCAGTTCCAAGGGAAACATCGACCTGGATTCGAATATACATCGCAGAAAAATCGGCGATTGGCCTTCGATAGCGAGACCGCGCGTTCCTGGACAGGCGGGCGAACGGGTCCTGATCGGCAAGCCATGGGAGATCTGGGGTCGATGCATCTACCCCTGAGCCTAAACTGCCCCCCCAACAAAGTTGCCCATGAGTCCTGCATCCCAGAGGGCGTGAACGGCCGCGCCGAGGGGTCCGCCCAGCTCTTGGCCTCGTCCTTGCCGCCCTTGAGAGAAGATCGGGGATCGAAAATCGGAGAGGATCGAGGATAGACAACGATTGAACGCTTGGCGCCCAGAAGGCGCCCAGGTACCTCCATACGTAATTATTTCGAAACCTATGGGGACCTCGGGAAACATCCGGAGATCCCTGGGCACCTTCGGGGGCCCGCGAAACCAGAGGGAAAGCACTAGGCGGTACGCACACAAGGGGGACCGGGGAGAAGGGAGCGGCCTCATGAGAAGGCACAGGGCCGTGGGGGAGGGGTCGCGGCCGCAACACGAGGAGGAGAAGGAGGAGAAGAGATGTGGAACAAGGAGGAGGAGGAAGAGAGGGAAGAAACTAAGAATGAAAGATCCAGATGGGACGCGTATTTTCAGTACGCAGCGTAATACGGGTATTATAGCGCGCATTATAGCAGGCGCGAAAGGTGGCCACTTTGGCCCACAATGGCGGCGGGAAAACAGGCAGGAGAGGCAGGCAAGGTATAGAAACGTACGAGTCTGTTGCGCCACGTCGGTCCACGCACGCTTTTCGCACACGAACCAACTAAGCCAAAGCGAATGATTCGCTAGAGGACGTTCTGCTAGCCACATCTCTCACTAAAAATGCAAGCCTCAAACAATTAATCGACCACGGCCTCACTCACTTGCCTACTCTACTTCAGTCGTCTGCTGCCCCGCGAAAATAGTTCGCGGAAGCAACCCTCTCACAGACATGCTTCACCATGTCGCATTTGCGAGCATTGTTCGCGAGATGCGAGCGCACGCCTCGCCCTTCGCCGCCGGGTCGTCACCGCCCGTGGTATTAAGCGAACCGATGTCTCAGTCATTATGGTCGCTCTGGGCCTCGTGGGTCGGCCGCTGCGACGGGGGCTCGGCAGGGTCGTGCCGCTGCTCGCTCAGCCTGACGGCGTCGTGGTCGTCGCTGAGCTTCCCATCCATGATGTTGGAGTGAATTCCTGCTGGGTGCCCCCCCTCGTCGTGGGGTCGGCCCTCACGTCTCGAGCGTCGCACCACAGAATGTCGTCGATCTGCTCGGTGTGGAGCTGGTTTGATGACCACCGCAGGTGGCTGACCATGCTTTGCTCCGAGAGCGGTCGAAAATGTTTAATCGGCCGGCACGGCATAGCTTCCTCCCCCCCCAGACTCCAGATCTCCTGGGCTGGGGCCGGTCCGCGCGCCATCTCGCGGAGCGTCAAGAGGTCACGCCTGCAGGCCGTCAAGCGCCCTGCATGCCGCGAGCAACCCTGAGCCAAACGACTATCAGCACAGTACCACGCGCGATCGGCCCACAGCATCGAGCAAGCGGCAAGCCCGTTGAGCGGCACTGCGGCACTTGCCTAGACGCATGTCTACGGCTCCTGTCACGCCGCAACCCGTCGCCCCCTCCCTCTCGAACAACCCGTCGCCGCGCCCGAACAGTCGCCCGACGCACTCCACGGCCGGCAAAGCGACGCGCGCTTTGATGTTCCGCGTGGCCAGAACGACGGAGTTGAGCTGCATCACGCGGCCGATGAGCAGTTTATTCTTGGCTCCCTGCAGAGCGACGATGGACGCCGCGGCGCGGTGCTGCGCGAACAGAGCGCACGCTGCTGCCCCCAGTAGGAGGGAGACAAAGATGTCTGGAAGATGGCCTTCGGCCGGCTCGTCGGCCTTCGCCTTGACCAGGCCAGGGCGGCCAACGGGGATCAGGACGTCGATGTACCCGTCCTGGTCGAGCGCATTCTACCATCAGCGCTGCGGCGCCGGTGGACTCCGCAATTGGTCACGTCGTCGCAGCCCCCCTTCATCTTGCCGAAGTCGCCCTCGACGCGGCCGATCAGCCGGCCGACGTCGATCTTCAGATGATCAACGTGCTTGGACAGCTTGAGCACTAGCTCCGAGCCGCCGGCGCCTTCAGCATCGGACGTCTCGCGATTGACCTCTAGCTACGGGCCCCACCCCGTCCGCTGGGCGCCGCGCTCCGGCGAGCGCGCGACCTGGGCAAAGCCCATGGAAAAGGCTCTGGGCGCACCCTTGCAGCCCGCGCCCGGCTCGATGCAGCGCCGGCGCCCGGCCCGCCCGTCGAAAGACTCGCAGCCTGGCACCTGCCTGGGGATAGCTGCACTGCCGGGCGGCAGGGTGAAGTTCAGCTCGCGGGGCCCTCCGCCCTGCTCCTGCACCATTGGCCATGCTCAGCAGGAACGCCTTCTTGACGCCCACGGCGACGCACACCCAGTCTGGGCGACGCGCCGCTTCTGAGGACAGCGCGCGCCGCGACGCCCGCCGCGCCGCCCTGGCGAACGTCTCGAAAGCCCTGGCGCCCATGTCGCAGAAGCCTCTCAGCGCCACGCCGCACTGGGTGATCCGACGGTCTTGCCGCCCGATCTCTTCCAGCGCTTCCAAGTGAAAACATGTCTGGGTCCCACGACGCCCCAGGCGCTCTAGAGCGGCCGGCACTCGGAACAATGGCACATGACCAGAAGGTGAGCTACTCAAGAATGGCAGCAGAAACTTCCTTGAACAGCCTAGACACTTCCTCCCCGGCAAAAAAGCCGGCGTCACGGTTTACTACCGCGGCCTCGACTGCGGCATTTACTCCAAGCACGGCTGTCGCGGAAGCGCTAGCGACATAGTGGCCAGACGGTCTCTGGAATGCTTCGCGCACCCCCTGGGCCCACGTCCAAATCCACACGGTATCCCCCCTCGTCCTTCTCCTCGAGCGCGGCGCTGTCTTCCACGGAGGCCCCGCGCAGGCGGCAGTGGCACTCCGAGCGCATGCCCCGTCGCCGGCGCTGCGTCTCCAGGCGCCGGGGGCTGGCCGCCGCGCGCTCGACTGCAGCTCCTGGGCCAGACCCTCTGCCCCCCGACTTCCTGCCAGGCTGCCACATCACCTGCCGGATGTGGCCCGAGAAATCGCTGCATGACTCTTCTAGTACTACCGAGAGGGCCGATGGCGAGCCTCCCTCGGAAACGCTGGCGGCGCCCTCGGGGACGTCGAAGACACAGTCATCGAGCGCCCCGTCACGGCCCTGTTCGGCGTCTGCCTCAAGGGCCCAGCCAGTCGCCCACAGACTACTGGCTGCGCGGCTGCGCACAAGACGCACTGCACGAACGTCTGATAGCTGAAAGCACATGCGGAACAAGTAGTGGAGTGCTTCGAGGAGGTCAAGGCGTTGCCGAGCCTGCCTGGTCAGCTGCGCGCCCTTCGCGCCCTCCCAGTGGCCGAAGGTCCCGGCCCCCGAGCCCGATGCGATACGTTCCGGGCTGTCCAACACACGATCCCCGGCAAGGCCAGCTCGCGCCAACCAGGTACCCACGTCGTCGAAGACGGCACCAATGGGAGCCCGTGCGTCCTGCCGTCTGCAGACCATCTCGGCCCGGCGGCACTCCACCGCAACCTTGCCTCTTGCTGGGCCCATCGGGATGATTGCGCCGTGTCCTGCCCAGCCCGACACGCCTTCGCGCTCGGAAACTGGTGGATCTCCACCTGGTCACCAACGTTGAAGCGACCCTCTCTGGTCTCGGTGGCGCGTGTAGCGAAGGCGCGCTTGACACGGGAGATCGAAGTAGCCTCGATCATACTTTGCAGCGCGATCTCTCGGATGCGCCGCTGCACTCGGCTGGGCTGCGCTCCCCCGCCAGCAGAGGGGCCAGCACCAGCGACATAGTCGCCGGATACTTCACCCTCTTCGTCTGATTCGAGCGCTGGCAGCATGGATGGGCTGCCTCCCGAAGACGACGCCGCGCGGCGCAACGCCGCCAACGTAAGTGAGGCCGTTGCCCGCGAAGGTCGCGCGAGCCAGCATAGAGTCGAAGTTGACGGTGATGCCTTCGCGCTCCAGCTGCTCCTCTGCGGTGCGAAGTGCACGTCGCGGCACGGCACCACGTCGCTCTATGGAACGAGCGCGCTGGCGCGGAGCTCGGGTGTCAACCTGCACCCCTCGCCTCCTCATCTCCACCACGAAGTACGTCGAGGTCAAACCGTCTTCGCCGCCCAAGACGAATGTCTCCATCGCGCCGAATAGCTGGATCCATGAACGGTCGATGGATGCAAATAGCGCCGAGTCGCGTCTGCCCGCGATATCCTGGCCGTTGGGCCACCGCGAGGCGCGGCAGATCAGGCGCAGGATTATGTGATCCTTGGAATAGAGGATGACACATTCGACGTGCTGGTTAAATCGTGTCAAAAGGCGGTGTGTAGGGATAGCACGATGCGCTGGTGGTTGCCATGTACAGCATTCCTTATCATCATGGACCATCGTGGGAAAGCGGTCGAAGATTGCCTGCGGACTGTAGAGCTCGCGCCATCTCTTCAGTGGCGCGCCACCAAAGGAGGCATAGTTTGCGTAGCTCTCGCATACGCGTCTCGCGCGAGTCGCCGCGCAACACTCGCAGCGAGCGAATCCAGTCGGATGTGGTTGGGTTGCCGACCGCCGCGACGGTAGCTCGTCGCGCTGACCGCCTCGGCACCGCCCCTGCCGCCGGGCTGGCTCGCAGCCCTGGCCCAGCAACACAGTCGCCAGAAACATAACTCTCCGGCCCAACGACAAAGTCGCCAGAACAACTGCCCTGAGCCCAGGCGCTAAATTATGAACTGGCTCCAAGTGAACCTGCAGGCACCGGCGGTGGGACAGCTTCGTCTGCTGCTCCGCTGTCGCCTCCGCCAGGCAGTTGAGCTTGCCGAGCGCTAGAGGGGCGCGGTTCCCCAGGTCGCCCTAGCGCACGCGGGCGTCGGCGCGCTGGCCAGCGCGCGGGCGCGGCCGCGCGCGAGGGTCGGGGAACCTGCACTTGGCGAACTCGCGGACGCGCGCAAGGTGGTCGCGTTCTTTCTCCTCGCGGAAGCCAGAGCACTGCCAGTTTCTGAGGCGCCGCGAAGACACCGAAGGGCGGCCAGGCCCCGGAAGTACATGCGCGAGCCCGCTGGAACATTGCGCCCGCGCGCCTTGCATGACTACTTCGCCCTCCGCGGCCCCAGAGGCCACTACTAAGGGCTGTCGTTTCGACGTCGCATTCACGAACGTAG